GGCCGCTGGCAGCCGCCAGTTCCTGGCGCAGCTGCACAAACTGCTCTGTGGTCAGGAAGTCTCGGGGTAGGTTGTTCTGGATGTGTTCTTTAAACCTGACAACAGCCACAAAGAGGCACTGCAAAGGGGGTGTTCKTGCTGCACTGCTGCCCAACAGGGCACAACCATAAATCCCAGGGGGTTCTGCTTCAATTCATTGCCTCTGAGTGACACTGAGTGCTGCCAGCTCACACCCCAAATGCAACTGCCACCACCCATCACCTTCAGGGTTGTGTGTCAAAGGGAAATGGCAGCGTGGCAGGCTGCCACAGACAGAACCCTTCCATGTAAAAGGGATGGCAAAGGACAAAATCAGTTCTAAAGGAAATACTTTATCTCCCACTCCAGGAGACCTGCAGAAATTACAGCGAGCAGTGTGTAATTTAACTGAGGTTGCTGCTCACTTCTCCCTACTAATGCAGAATTCCTTTATCTAAAACTTAACCAGGATTTCCCCTTAGTCAATTAATTGGGTGTTTCACCACAGGTGGGCACTGCACCAGAATTAACAGTCAAAACTGCTCATTCTGATTTCTCAAAGACATCCTCTCTTCTTCCTCACATTTCCAAAGTCTGTCTTCATTCCACAACAAAACCTCTGAATTTACCTAAAATCAAATTTCTCAAATGTGCATCAGAACTTTAATATAATCAGTCCAACTGTCTGAGGATATAACTTCGTAAAACTGAGTAACTGTTTCAAGTTTTTGTGCTGAGTGACTATTCCACATTTTACATGGCATTAATWCCCTGTTTTCCCTTTACCTCTGGAAGTGATGGCTGTAGAGCTGCGTTGGGATTCCCAGGATTCGGTCATAGATGGATGTAACTTCCCTTAGGTTTCCCTGGTCATTTTCCCAGTTTATATACATTTCCCAGAGTCTGTCTGAACGGAAATCTGTCCCAGCAGCCAGYACTGCATGTTCATAGGCTCTGGAAAGGAAATCATTGTACACTGGTTTCTGGATGCCCAAACAGAACAAGAAATGAAAGTCCAGGCTCTTACTAAAGGTTATGAGCATCCTAATTTACGTAAAACAACATTTATATGAATATTAACATTCTCCAAAGTGTTTTCTAGATATCTGCAGCAAGGTGTCAAGAGGTTCAGAAGGCTCACACTCAATTTTTTCCTCCAGCACCAACACAACTGAACAAATAAAGGCAACAGCAAAAGTCTGTTGCAGGAATACAAGGTATTAGGAAATACACAACCTTTACCACTTTTGTCTTGTACAGACTCTACACCCACTACTGCAGCAGTGTAATATCCAAAAGCTGTGCAGTTCCAGTTCAGAAATGAAGTTTTCTGATCAAACTCTAGTCCAGCCCTTTAACMAGGCCCACTGCCAGGCACAGGGARCAGACACATCCTAGYYWTACCYTGAAAACCTCAAGAAAATTAAATTCCAAGATTCTGAATGCTACACTGAATATTTCTAACATCCAATCAGAGCCTCTCAAGCCACAGCTTTTGCCCCTTGTACCACACTGTACTGTCTCCCCATTCTTACAGAATTTGGCTCCACCATCTCTTAGAAGTCCCGGAGATGACACCAGGCTGTTATGAATTTTCCCCTTATCTTAAAAGCACACTGATCTGTGATCTGTGGTATCAGGCAGTTCCCAACTCACCCCCGGATGGTACTGTTAGTTTCGGGATCAGCAGGGTCCAAGGTCTCCTTTAGGAAGTTTATATAATGTATCCAAAGATCAACACTAAGAGGAATTGCCTGAAGCCCTCGGCGATAGACCTATGAAGAGAACATGAACTGTACTTCAAATCCTTAATGGGGTCCTAAGAGAGAGGCAACACTGTGTTATCCGGTGAACCTTAGAAATACTAATTACTGGAATTTTGTTTAAATAATCTACCATTACCATTCGGGTGGAGGTTGGATAGAACATGGCAATGTTCTGATCTCCACGTGCGGAGTCTTGATCTTCAAAGCGCAGCGGTCCCTGCATTCTGACCAGGTTGTGTGGGCAGGCTTTGGGGTACAGACCATAGGGCACAGACCCATTAGAGCATCATTGACAGCGTCTGACCAAAAATGCAATAAGATGGAGCAATTGTGACCAGCAACCAACTATATTGTTTTGAAAATGAGTAATAAATGGAAGTGACAGAAAAGCCCTGCCCTACTTGTTAAGCTGCAGTGTAATACAGAGGCTTGCACTGCAAAGCTTGACAAACTGTAGAGGTTTAACGCACCTGCCAACAAAGAGAGAGAACATTAGCTCCAAATGCCACAGCAGGGACACGTGCAAACACGTCCCTCGAGCCCTGGCCGTGCAGGGCAGGCACTGGCAGCCCAATGACTCGCAGTGGGACAGTCATTGTTGGCTTTGGGACTGGTGGCAGTGCTGGCCCCGGGCCCTACGTACCTCGTCTGACTGCTTGATGTTGTCGTGGCGCTTCTCCAGGTCCGCGTACTTCTTCCAGTACCCATAGCAGTAGGGGTAGTGGGTGAAAAACCTGTCAAAGGCTTTCCTGGCTGCTGGCAAGTGGTTCTGTGGGAAACACAGAGTGAACACAATCAGTCCTTCCCTTAGAAACAGCTTCGGGTTATTTGACAAACAATTATTAACAGTGTTTTATAAATGACTGGCGTTATTCTGACATTGAGCAATCTGGCGTAGTAGAAGGTGTCCCTGCCCATGGCAGGGGTGGAACTGGATGAGCTTTAAGATCACTGGCACCCCAAACCATCCTGGCATTTTATGTACCAAGGACACCTTGCCTTAAACTAGCATCTGTGACAGCCTGATGGCCCTTCCACATCTGGCACTGGAATTCCATTACTTTATTTTTGTTTATTTATTTCTGGGAGACTGAGAAAGAAGGGGCAGGTACTGACCTCCTGCTCTACATACTGCAGTAGATAAACCCATCCTGTGAAATCCTGYGGATTGTCCTCTACTACTTTCCAGAACTTGTCAAAATCCGGAGGGAAGCCAGCCTCGATATCTGTGGTCTGTAAACTCTCAATGTTTGGAATTTCGCTCTCCTGCGTGTTGTCCTCGTTGAGGTCYGGGGAGCTGTCTGGGGACTGCTCCATCTCGGTGACACTCATGATCTCGGTGCTGAAGTCCATGTGCTGCTCCTCAGCCGTGCTCTCGGTGCTGGCCTCTGCATTCTCATTGCTGACAATGGGCTGCTCCTCCTCCGTGCTCTCTGAGTTCTCCATGGCACAGCTGGGAGACTGGATCCTGTGCAAATAAAAGGGTTCAGTATTCCCACAGCAAGACTCAAGCACAACTTGGGTATGAAATAGCAACTCCGAGTGCCTCAAGTGATTCAGGCATCCCTGTATTTCACCACAATCCCAGTTACATCTGCCTCACGCATGAGCCTTGTTCAACAATAAAAAATATTAACAGCAGYCACAGATTTTCACATCTGCACATATAGATCATCGTGGGTTTCTGAAAATCTATCCCAGGGAGCTATCAAAATATAAAAGTGAATCATTACAGTTTTCCTGTAGCAGTCCAGTGGAAGTTTATTCTAAATAAAGAATTATGCTCAAATTCCATATAATCATTCAGGCTGGAAAAACTATCTGAGACCATTAGGTCCAAGTTAACCCAGCACTGCTAAGGCCACCTCTCACTCACGTCCCTAAATTCATTCAATTCTCCTACTTAGTGCAAGTCAGTAATTTCTTTACAAAATGAACAGGTGTTAAAATGTCTTCAATGCCAGGCTACAGCAAAGACAACAGTTACTGTCAGCACCAACTCAGCCCCAATTAGTGATGGCCAAATAAACCAACCAGCACCAGAGGGCCACAGAAATGCTCTGCTGCCCCTGACCTGCAGCCCCTCACTGCCACCCACACCCAGTGCCACGCGCTCCTCCCACCCCKTGGGACAGACTCCTGCTTCCTCCTGCCCCTTGGGACAGACTCCTSYTTCCTCCCACTCTTCCTTTGATGTCCCTGCCAAGAGCCACTGCGTGGCCCTGCCCTGCTGTGCCAGCGCCAGGCCAGCCTGACCTGGCTCAGTGCCACCCTGCCTTGGCTAATCCTGGCCTTCCCTCTGGAGCTGGAGCAGGGGCACTGAGCTGAACCTTCTCCATGCCCTTCATGGCYAAGGGATCCTAGGGAACAGCACCCTGCAGGATACAACAGCTCCCAACTGTCAGTCCAGCTGGGATGAAGGACAGTGTTGGATTGTCATCCTCACACACTGCACTGCCACTCCTGCATCCTTC